CGCACCTGCCTCGGGCCTCTTTCCGGCCCTGGGGGCTGAGGCCCTCGCGGGGCCTCCCCGGGTCCCATGCCCTTTCTACCCAGTCCGAGCCCTACGGGTCCCCCACCTCCTGGAGGAACCGCGAAGCCAAACAGAAACGCCTGCGAGAGAAGCAGGCGGCGCTGGAGGCCGGGCTAGCCGGGAAGAGCAAGGTTTGGGTCGCTCCGCTTGTCCTTGGGTCCCCGAGAGACGTGGGCGGGGCTGGCGGGGAGACTGGACCCCAGGTGCTTGGGGTGCACCGGGAACTGCAGCCCCTCCCTCCCTCCCCCCAGGCATCTGCAGAATCCAGCAAGGCCTGGACTCCTAAAGAAATAGTGTTGTATGAACTCCCCACGGAACCCGGCGAAAAGAAAGGTAGCTAGAAGCTTGCTCTCCCGTCGCCCATCCGGTGTGCTGAAATGCAGGGGACTTAGGAGCTCTGCTGCCTCCACAGATGTCTCCCGGCCCCTGCCTGCTGCCTACAGCCCCCGCTACGTGGAGGCGGCCTGGTACCCTTGGTGGGTGCGAGAGGGCTTCTTCAAACCGGAGTATCAGGTCTGTACTGGCGGGGAGTCCCCGAGGCCAACTCGTGGGAGAGCTTGTCTCCTGCTCCAGTGTCCCCACACATCCTCTGGGCAGGTCCCTTGCCCTGGCCCTGTTACTTGCAGTCCTTTATGCCCCGGGGACAGCAGAGGGAGCTGTTCACCTCTCTTGCCCTTTGCCTTGGCTCCTAGACCAGGCTGCCCCAGAGCACCGGGGAGACCTTTTCCATGTGCATCCCCCCGCCCAACGTCACCGGGTCCCTGCACGTCGGGCACGCACTGACTGTGGCCATCCAGGACGCGCTTGTGCGCTGGTGAGGGGAAGGGGGCTGCTTGAGTTTCGGGAGGGGGACGGGAAGGGGAGGAGGGAGGATAAATGTGTAAGCTCAGGGCTTCGCGTGTGCGTGTTTCTGTTGCAGGCACCGGATGCGCGGGGATTGCGTGCTGTGGGTCCCTGGCTCAGATCATGCAGGGATTGCTACCCAAGTATGTCTCTTGCCACTGTTTCCTTTGCTCAGGTGCAAGACACCCGAGTCACTGTCTGCCCCTCATCTCCTAGGCTGTGGTGGAGAAGCAGCTGTGGAAGGAGCGGGGGCTGAGGAGACACCAGCTGGGCCGGGAAGACTTCCTCCGGGAGGTGTGGAAGTGGAAGGAGGAGTGAGTGCCAGGCGCAGGGGTCGAGATCATGGGTTTGGGACCTTGCTTCCCAGCCTCTCTCCCGGCTTGTGGTTGCTCTTCCCATCCCCCTCATTTCCCTAACTTCCAGAGACTTGAGCTCTGGAGCCTCTTAGTGTTTGGTGGGGTCTCCAAGCTCTGCACCTGTGCGTCTGTGTGTATGATACAGTAAGATGTGCTTATTGATGTGTGTGTATGTATATACACTCACACGCTCCCACTGGTCCCATTTTCCTGGCCTGGACTTTATCATCTCCCACTCACCCACTGCCACCTTCGCTCTGCTTGACCTGCCCTCGTGTCCCTAGGTCGGCTAGCACATGCCATCTCCTCTGCAAAGCTGCTCTGGGTTTCCCACAATTTGGCGGCCCTCTTATAGAGCTTTATGCTTTTAAAGTATATTTTTATTAATTTCAGAGAGGAAGAGAAAGAGAGGTAAAAACATAAATGGAGAGAGAACCATTGATCGGCTGCCTCTTGCACATCCCACACTGGGGATCAAGCCTGCAACCTGGGCACGTGCCCTGACTGGGGATCGAACCGTGACCTCCTGGTTCATAGGTCGATGCTCAACCACTGAGCCACGCTGGCTAGGCTGTGCTTTTTTGATGTTCTAGAAGTCTTCATACTGTCTACAGTAGCTTCCAGAGGCTGGACCAATGCTGCACTCCTCCCAGCCCCCAGTGTGGCTGGGTGTCCCTAGGCCTGGTTGTTGGTGCTCGGGACATGTTTGCTGATAAACCTCTCTGGGCACAGGAAAGGGGGAGAGATCTGTGGGCAGCTGCGAGCTCTGGGGGCCTCCCTGGACTGGGACCGAGAGTGCTTCACTATGGACACAGTGAGTGTGCCCTCAGGCCCTGTGCGGTGGGAGGGGTTTAGAGATCGGGAGGGTGGTGGGTGGCGGTGTGTCA